CAGAACTTCCTTAGTTTTAGTCATGATCGTATTTAGGAAGTGATAAATTTGTACATCTTGACTAGTAAATATTTGGTAAATAAAAAGGTTTAGATCTGAATTGTCTGAATTACTAAGTAAGGACTTAGTAGATTCCGAGCCTTGTGCATTTGTGGGCTCCGCTCACGAGTGCACGGCGTCTGTCTGGCTTCGGGATTTGGGGCGTGACAGAAAATATTGTTTCAGCAACGTGCCTTGTGTTTTTGCCAAATTTTGCCTTCTGCCGGTGAAGATTCCAACGAAATTTTTGAATATTTTCAGCAATATAAGCTACGTTACTGAAACCAAAATATCAGCAATGTGGCTTATGTTGGTAAAAATTTTGCAAATTTCCAGCCATCAATTTCGGTGAGATGTTTGGGGTAGTTTCACCAACACAAGCTATGTTGCTGAAAACATGATTTCAGCAACATGTCTCATTTTGCTAAAAGTTTGAGGGGGAGTCTGCTATCTACTTTTCAGACACATGTTCCTTGTTGCTAATAAACTAATGAATAGTAAACCCATGTACTTTCAGCAATAAGAGTCTTGTTGTAGGTAATCTAATGAATAGTTGGCACCCTTTCTTTCAACAAGATGTTTCACGTCGGTGATGTTCAAATGCCAATTTTAAGAATTAGTTCATTGACAAGTGGTACAGTACTATATTATTTTTTTAAAAAAAATTATCAATTTTCTCTATTAATATTATGAATACATATTTCTTAGTTTCATTAATATTTACAAATAATTTAAATAAATTATTTTTATACTATCATTAAAAAATTTAATAATTATTTATTTTGTAATTATAATCACTAAATAATTAATGAATTTTATTAAATATAAAAAAGTATACAAAAAATTATAAAATTTAACAAGTATATAATATTTAATTATAAAATTCAATTTTTAATTATAATAAATAATTAATAAATTTTATTAAATATAAAAAAGTATACAAAAAATTATAAAATTTAACAAGTATATAATATTTAATTATAAAATTCAATTTTTAATTATAATCACTAAAAAATAAATTTTATTACATATAATAAAGTATGCAAAGAAATTCTAAATGGATAATTAATGTTTATTTTGACCACTTATATCTAAACTTTTAGCTAGATAAATTTAAAAGAAATATCTCAAGGCAATTAATGTTGGTTTAGGAGCATTCCAAGCTTGAATTTATTTATTTTATTGAGATTTACCTACAAAACAAAATTAGTAAGTAATATATATAGTCATTTATAATTTTATTAATTTGCAAATAAATTAGAACGTATTTAAGCACTTTATGTTCATAATAATATTGAATACAATAAAATCAAAATATACACCTCAATAAAATGAAAATGTTAATAAAAATTAATGTAATTATATATAGGTTAAAGCCCCATTTTGTTCCTGAACCATTGTAAGGACCCTCGATTTAGTCCTTAAACTTAAAAAATCCCTAAGTTGCTCCCTACTATTTACTATTTTTACCCCGATTTGGTGCTTCCGTTCAAATTCTGATAACAAGGCCTGTTAGTTCACTGTTACAAGATGACATGTCAAATATTAATACACGTGGAAGACAATATGACAAAAAAGTGATGACATGGAAAAACAATAATATAAAAAAATAAATAATTAATTAAAAAGTAAATTCATTTTTTTTTTCTTTTTCCTTCTCTTTCCCCTTCCCCTTTTCTTCCCCATGGAACCCAACAGATGGGTTCCTTGGAACCCAGCACGCCTAGGTTCAATGGAACCCAAGCATAGGTTCCTTCAAACCCAGGCGCTAGGTTTGGTGGAACCTAGTGTGCTTGTGTTCCAAGGAACCCAGCACGCCTGGGTTCCACCGAACCCAGGATTTTTGGGTTTGAGGTTTGTTTTCTTTTTTTTTTTTTTTTTTTTTT